AAGAAGCTTTAAGATCATCAATTTTCTTTTGACGATAATCATTGACCTTTGAAAGTAAATTTTGCAAATCCGAATTTTTCTTTTCAAACTCTTCTGGTTTGATTTGCAAATCTTTGATTTTACTTTCAAAATCATTGTTGGTATTGGATATGAGCTTATTTTCATTTCTCAATTTTAAGACATCATTTTTATATTTTAAAAACAATTTCTCATAATCCGAAGCCAACCCATTATATTCCTCTAATAACTCATCATAAGATAAATCATCTAATTCAGATGAGTTAGAGGTTACCTTAGAACCTTCCCCGAATGCCATCAAGCACAAATTTGCTACTTCTTGTTCCTCTTCATCAGAACCCTCTTCATCGGAACCCTTTTCATCGCTCCATGTAGCCATATGAGCCTTGTGCTTATTCTTTGTTGACCCTTTCTTTTCAATTATGGGCAATCATATTTGACATGCCCATGCTTTTTGCATTCATAGCAAATGATAGGGTCCTTCTCTTTTGGTTCATTTTTGATACCCTCATTTCTTTTGAATTTTCTTCCTCGGTAAGGTCTCATCATTTTTCTTAACCGTTTGGTAAACAATGTCATTTCCTCGTCATTTTCATCTGAATCACTCTCATCTTTTGTGGATTTGAGAGCAACTCCAATGTTTTTCTTCTTCTCCTTCTCCTTTGGTGTTTCATCAATCTTATCGAGATCCACCTCATCTTCAAGCATCATTTCATGAGTGAGGAAGGAACCAATTAGCTCTTTAAAAGTTAAGGATTTTAGGTTCTTAGCCTCGATGATTGTCGTCTTCTTGGATTGCCACGATTTTGGAAGTGAGTAAACTAACTTCCTCACAAGCTTTTCGTTTGGAATGATCTCTCCATATGATTTAAGACCATTGACAATCGTTGAGAATCTATCTGTCATAACTTTGATATATTCATATGGTTTCATCTTGAAATTTTCATAGCTATGTGTTAGAAGACTAATTTTAGATTCTTTTACCTCGTCGGTGCCTTCATGAGTGACTTGTAGTTTATCCCATATTTCTTTGGCGGTTGTACAAGATAAAACTCTTCCATATTCATCTGGTCCAAGAGCACAAAATATGATATGGATTGCTTTGGAGTTGAGCTGGAACATTCTTGTCTCTCCTTCACTCCACAATCTTGGATGAGTGAGAGGCTTGATATATCCGTCTTCTACAACATTCCATGCTCCCATGTCACTTGCTTGAATGAAATACATCATCCTATTCTTCCAATAGGCATAGTTACCTCCATTGAAGAAAAGAGACTTGTTGACGGGCATCGAATCGAGACCGGAGTCGACATTTGAAGTAGAGGCCATTGATGACTTGATAATCGATGTAACTCTTCCCGAATCGACTCAAGAGGAGATTAAACCTTCAAATAAGTGAGGCTCTGATACCAATTGTTGAGTTAATCGATCGATGGAATCGGCCAAGAGGGGGGTGAATTGGCAATTAAAATTTTGGTGGAAGCTTTTGCAGAAAATTTAAAGTAATTGCACAGCGATTTAGAGTGGTTTAACTTTCTCAATCAAAGTCTACGTCCACTACCTTAGCTATCCACACTAAGGATTTTCTAACAAATTCACTAATTTGTTCTTTCTTTTGAGGCCAAAGAGATAACCTTACAACTCCCTCAAGAATATACCCCAATTCTTGAGAACACTCTTTCTCAAAGAGAAGATTACAAATTTGCAAACTTACAAGGAAGTCCTCACAAGGTAGATTGTTTGCAAAATTCTAGAACAAAGAAAAGAACACTAAAAAATGAATACAATTGAGTGCAAGTAGTGTTCTTGAAAGCAAAATGAATATTGAATGAAAAATAGGCTTGGAATGCTCAAACTTGAGGTTTGATACTTTCTCTTTGATTCTCTCTTTATTCTTGTTGATTGTTTTTTCTTGTTATTGATCAATGGCTTCTAAGCTTGTTTAAATACACATTCAAATGATTCTGAACGTTGGAGATGTTTAGTGGAGTCAATAGAGTCGTTTAAGTGTGAAAACAATTAATTAAAGTAGTTGGGAGCGTCAGTGCATCGGTGCATTAGTGTAAAATTCAAATATTTTGACCGTTGGACCCTTAGTGCATCGGTGCACTAAGAGTGCATCGATGCATCAAGTGCATTCGATGTTTCAAAATAGCCAGAGTGCATCGATGCATCAAATGCATTCGATGTTTTCATAAAATCCTCAGTGCATCGATGCATGGTATGTGCATCGATGCATGAAATGCATTCAATGTTCAATTTATTTCATGGTGCATTGATGCATGAATTGGTGCATCGGTGCATCACTATGAAAAATTGATTTTAGGCTTGATTTTAGTTCAAAATACTTTGTGAAAATTGTTTCAAAAATAGTTTAAGTATAAAACACAATTTTACACATTTAGTAAGGTTTGAATTTGAACTTGAAAGACTTGGAGTAATAATTTGATATTCAATTAATTAAATCAAATATACTTAGAAAATCATTTGTAAAATCTTAAAATTCATTTAAACTTTAATTTGTTATATCGAAACACAAAAATGTTTTCAACACATTTGTTGTCCAAAAATTATTAATTGGTTGTCTTGGATTAATGGCTTGCCCCCACCTGCTTTTGCTTTGGTTAATTTTCTTTCGACCAGAGGGTGACACGTGTTACCTTCAGATTGGTGGAAATAAATCTATTAAATTAAAATAAATTTAGTCTTTCAATCAAGTGATAACATATGTCATGAAATGTGTCACCAATGACACATGACACCTCTTGATTTTTTGGTTAAATTTATTTTAATTTATTAAAATTAAGATCAAATTAAAAGAATATATAAAACAAGGACTAATTATATAATTATACCAAATTATTTTAACTAGCACATCTACTCCGTTAAATGTTAACGGCAAGTGTCTTGATTGAAGCATTTAAATAGTTGAGTGATTTAATTGATCAAATTAAAATATCGGTAGTCAAAATAACTTTTGACCATAGTTGAGTGGTCATCCATGTTGTAAATAATGAGGAAGCGTTAGCATCTGTCGAGTTCTTGAACCTAATCGGATCAGGATAGAAAGCGTGACCAATCTCAAAAGACTCTCTCTTTGTATGTCTGCAAAGACCATCAATATTTTCTGCAACGCCGCCCAATTCTAAGCTTGTATTCAGTCCCAAATTTAAACCATTGAAGATGAAACCTTCTTTGCTTGAAGCTACCATTTTGATCATAAAAAAAACACCAAGCAATGCTTAAAACGCATGATTGGAACTGTGATTGGAATTTTCTGGTTTCTGTCGACAAGTTTAAAGCTCTTCTCTGTATACCAACTACAGGATTCAAGGACTTGATCAATGTGTCGAGAAGGTTGCACAAAAGTCAAGGAGAAAACCGTCCACCATGTCTGGTGCCAAATATTAATTGGGGCATCAAGTCCAAGTAGATTATTCTCCTTGTAGACTGTCTTTCCCCCCCCCCCCAGAAATCACACTTGAACATTTGGCTCAATAGAGTGGCTAGCGTATTTTAGAAAGGAATCATAATGAATTATTTGGAGTTGATGCCCCAACTAATATTAAGACTTTTGCTTTGACTTCTATTAAGTTCTGGCAACGGAAAATCTGGTTCAACATACCTGTTAAGAATCCAACCAGCAGCTGCTAACATCACACTTCAATTTTTATTCTATCTGTGAAGATCAAGGTGTCTTCAGCATTTCAAATTATATGGCAGCTCCAGCCCCAGACATCACTAGTTGATATTTGATCTTCAATGAATTGTTCTAAAATGATTTGGGAATGTATTAAGCTTTGGTATTTTTGTTACTCTGATAAATCACGAATGCACTCAAAGATTGCATCTTAGTTCAGTAACTTCTAATTGATTCATTATATTCTAAGCAGGGGTGGGATGCAAGGCTTGTCTAGGGTGTACACGTGCCCACCTTGAAATTTTATTTATAACTATCCCATACCAAAAATTTCTATTATTAATATATGTTTCACCCTCAAAAATATTGTTGGATCCGCTACTAACTTCAAGCTTCCAAAATTTTTCTGGTTCAGCGGATGCTCTGAAGGCAGTACAAACCATTTGCTCAAGCAGCTGAAGCGGGCCGCACAGTTTCTAAGTAATAGAAGATCTATAAAATTTAAGAAGCCATGAAGAATCAAGCTTAAAGAATCAAAGAACTGTTGACAGTTAAAACCGAAAACATGAGGGACTATCCGTATAGTTTACCCATTTTATAAAAGTTTGGTTGATTGTTTGTTATACTTGACAAATACACGACCATATATTAATTATGGTTTCAGTGAGTTTATTGTCCATGTTTATGCATTGAAGTAGCACTGCCCATCTTAAAACTGCAAAGTGGGTTCTAAGATGTGTAAGAGGAATCATGACTATGGAATTTAGTTTTCGAAAGCCAAAGAAAGTACGGTACAGTGATAGTGATTAGGCTGGTTCAGTCGATGACTCAAAAAGCAGCTCAGGCTATTTGTTTACTCTCGGCAATGGCTGCTTTTCTTAGAGTTCAAAGAAGCAAGACATTGTTTCTCAATCAACAACTGAAGCATAATATGTTGCAGCTGCAGCAGCTGTTGTTAATCAAGAAATTTGGTTGAGGAAATTATTATGTGACCTGAATCTGACTGAAGAGGAATCAGCAAAGATTAAACGTGACAACCAATCTGCTTTTGCAATTGCAAAGAACCCAATTTTTATAGGGATTCCAAACATTTCAATATCAGGCTTCATTTTGCGGGAGAAATGTAACAAAACAATGAAATCATCCTAGTTCACACGGTCACTGTCAGTCTGTACTCTGAAATTCTATCAACTTTAGAATGCATGAACTCGATCAGAAACTACTGAACTGAGAAATAAATTGCAGTAACTTACATATAACATGTTTTTACTTGACAGATATGTCAGATACAATGAAATCATTGATAATTGTACTGCTCACGGATATTTACAAATATTGTCCAAGTAGCAAAAAAAGGTTCATTATCTCATAACATAAACACAAAGCTTAAACTGGGAAAAGTTTACAATCATCGACCTCCAGAAAGTACAGACGCTGCAACAGAAGATGAATGGGAGAATCCCTTGTGACTGGAAGATGTATCCCACATGGAAAAATCATCGAAGCCTTCACTATTGGCAAACGTTAGGCCACGGGAAGAGATACTAAATAATGACATTTCCGGGAAAGGCATATCTCCTTCTACAATATGAACAACATGGCGCATCGTTGGCCTTGCTTTAGGCTCCGAGTGGGAGCATATCAACCCAAGTTTTAAGACCAATTCAACTTCCTCAGCTACATAATCTGAACCCAAATTTGGATCCTTTGCCTCCATTATATCACCTTTGCTCCAACAGGAATACACCCAATCAACCAAAATGAAAGCTTCTGTTGGAGAGTGTGATATTGGTCTTTTTCCACAGGCAACTTCAAGCAGAAATGCCCCGAAAGCAAACACATCGGTATAGGGTGTGGCTTTCCCTGTTCGAGTAAGCTCTGGAGCTAGATAACCAAGAGTGCCTACAACATGAGTTGTGTGTGGTTCGGTTTCATGATCATATAATCTAGCAAGCCCAAAATCTCCCAATCTTCCATTTAGTTCACCATCTAGCAAAACATTGCTAGCCTTGACATCCCTGTGAATCACAACCTGCTCCCATCCTTCATGTAAGTAAAACAATCCTGATGCTACACCTTTGATGACTTTGAACCTTTGTCTCCAATTAAGGGTGAGGTTTGATTGGTCATACAAGTACTTATCTAGACTTCCATTGGGCATGTAGTCATATATCAAAAGTAGCTCACCTTTACGCCTGCAATATCCCAAGAGTTGAACTAAATTCCGGTGACGGAGACGACCGAGGCTCACTATTTCTGCTATGAATTCCTTCATCCCTTGTCTCGATTCGTGTGAGACTCTTTTCACTGCAACCTCAAGTTTACTGCTTGGAAGATCTCCTCTATAGACTCTTCCAAATCCACCAGATCCCAATAGCCCCTTGTCTTTGAATCCGTTTGTAGCAACATATAGATCTTTAAACTTGAATCTATGAGGGCCATACTCAAGCTCCCAATCTTCAACAAATTCAGCAAACTTCCTCTTCCTCCTTATGAAAAAAACTACAACTGAAACTGCTACCAAAATTACACTCACTAAAATCAAAGGCAACCCTGTTGTCAAAAGCATTGGTCTTTTGTTTGGACCTGCTCGAGGAAGCATCGGAAGTTGAGACAAGGTAAGCTCTTGCGCCTGCCCATTCATCTTAAAGCTCCAACCCAGAACATAGTGAAATGCGAAAATAACGCCAGTTGAGGACGAAAAACCAACGTACATCTCATTCTTAACAACTGAAGAAAGATCATGAAAGAAGGATAAAAGTGGAGTCTTGGGTTTAGAAACACGAAACGGAGCTAAAGTAACATCCATTCGCTTCTCTAGACCATGATATTCGACCCAAACTTGTGTCCTTTGCCCGCCCATTATTGTCAAACTCAGGTTTATAAACTGACGGCTCCCGTCCTCGTAATATCCAGCCGGAAAAGATGCACTGGAATTTAACCCATTAATATCAATACCAACATGATTTTCATTGATGTCGTTGAACGGTGCATTTTGTACCGTATCGAGTTCTACAGCAACAACGTGGTTTCTATCGTTGCCATCGTTGGAGGCATTGAAGAGTCCGAGATATTGGGCTGCAGAAGCTCCGGGGAAACTCTTGGTTGGTGAAATCACAAAAGCCATTCCGTGACCGCTGACATTTGGGTATGCGGATGCAATAGCGAAGACGAAGGTGGTAGAGAAGGAAGAAACGGAACCGTTGGCTGAGTTCTTGAAGTTTACAGGGTGAGGGTAAAAAGCATGGCCTGTTTGTGGCCTGGTTCCATTGGTAAGCTTTAGGAGTCCATTGGAAGTGAACTCTGCAATCCCATCAAGGCTTAGATTAGCCGACCGGAATCCATTGTAGATGAAACCAACGTCATCGGAGGCTGCTAAGCTAACAAGAAGACTTAGCGGAATTGCTAACATGAAAGTGAAACACATTGCCATAATCTGCTTGCTTTTTTCTGTCTCGTTGTCTTTGGCTTTCTTTGCCCTTTATTTATGCTTGAGGTCAGTATGAATTGAAATATAAAGATTAACTCCAATAATTAAGTAAAGTATAGTGATTAATTATAATATTTAAACTAAATTCTGACGTATAGATTTGCTAAGCATTATGCATTAAGCAAGCTTGATGTTTAGCTTACTGTTTACCAGTACTAAGTTGCTTTCTGTGGCACGTGAAGAAGCACGGACATGCAAGACCACTTCAACGCCAGTCACTGACATCGACGCCATGGTCCTGGAAGTTTACAAGCGAAGAGGCTTTGGTCAATCCCTGTAAAAGCCTGAGCTGTAGCCCTATAGACTTAGTTACTATTATACCTTCTTGGATCTTTTTCGAACGTCATTATTTTTTGTTAGCTTTCAAAATCCTTATAAATTTTCAGAGTTTTATTTCTTCTAAGATTATAGTCTCATAGTGTGATAATCGATAAATCCATAAGGTTTACTAATAATCATATATATTTACCTTATCAATCTAAAAAATAATAATCATCACTTTAAAATTTTTACCCTAAAACCAGCGTACATAATTAGAGAAGGGATTCTGAATTCTCTTAGGTGGCGTTTGGTTGGCATGAATCTCTTGGAATTAGGGGGAATTAGAATCCAATTCCATCACTTTCCCATGTTTGGTTCAAGTTTTTCAAGGGAATTGGAATCGCTCATGGCTTCAACTTTCTATCAAATGAGGGAAAGTGAATTCCATCTAAGAATTGATGGAATTCAATTCTCTTGTTGGAGAGAATTGAAATTTGACCATACTACCCTCATCAATCTTTTGGTAACTTATTCATATATTGAATAAAAATATTTTTTTATTATTTTGGGTCGGGTCGGGTTTCTAATTCATATATTTGAGTTGGGTCAATTTTTTTATTATTTTTTTATTATTTCAGGTCAGATCGGGTCGGTTTTTTTAAGTGTGATATTCGGGTCGGGTCGGGTTCGGGTTTAGGGTGAAAAATACATGACCCGACCCGACCCAAAAAAAATATAATTTTACCTTATATATTTAGGAATAATTACAATAATACCCCTCTATATATATATATTTTTCCAATTAAGTCACTGTTTTTATTGAATAAAAATAATTTTTTTATTATTTCGAGTTGGGTCGGGTGAAACTTTATTTTGGTCGGGTCGGGTCTCGGATGGAGGTTCCCTTGTTCTCGGGTCGGGGTCGGGTGGACCAAAAACCCAACCCGACCCATGACCATCCCAAATTGGGATGATTTTAACTTATGATGTTTATTAGCATTATTTTTATTAGAGAAAATAACTTCAGTGACCGAAAATGTCTTATAATATACGATTTTAACCAACTTTTTTTTGGATTTGCGAAAATGACCAACAAATTCGCAACGCAAACTCCAATTTCGTAACTCAGTTTCCAAATTCGCTACGCGAATCCGTAAATTACAACACAGAAGTCAAATTCGCAACACAGAAGTCAAATTCGCAACGCGATTTCCAAATTCGCAACGCGATTTCCAAATTCGCGTTGCGATTTACAAATTCGCAACACTGAATTTCAAATTTGCAACTCGATTTCTGAATTCGTAACTCGATTTTCGAATTCGCAACACGAATTTTAATTTTGCAACATGTTTTATGTTCGCAATATGTTTTATTTTCGCAACACAAATGTTTTGGGTCTATAACTACGCAGCAGCAGCAACTCATAACCTAAATCCCTAAATCGCAACTCATTCCATCTCCATCTAGCACCTCTCTGACAACATTCGTTCCTATATCCAACGACACCCTTCCCCATCTCTAATTTTTTTACATAATTTTATTTCTATATAATTTTTCAATGATTTCTCTCCCAAATTATCAACTATCAACTTAATAAATGTATGTTCTTCTCTAAGTTAGTGATGATATGTAGTTTATAGCTCGTTTGTTTAGTAAATTAATTTACAATTTATAGAATGAAATCATCTAATGTTGATCATGTTTGGATAGATTTGTGTTTTGGACGGTCATGGGAGAATGTTCATGGTGTTTTACGATATATGCCTTTACCCATGAATCTTCAACTAAAACTATCATTAAAAAGGTTAACTTATGAAACTCTAATGTTACGTGTTCCAAAGAAATTGAATTTAGAGCCTCTAAGTGGATTTAGGCTATTTTATCAGAGAAAAGGTAAAGTTTATGTTGAGTTAATCGATTGACGGAATCGGCCAAGAGGGGGTTGAATTGGCAATAAAAATTTTGGTGGAAGCTTTTGCAGAAAATTGAAAGAAATAGCACAGCGATTTAGAGTGGTTCGACTTTCTCAACCAAAGTCTACGTCCGCTACCTTAGCTATTCACACTAAGGATTTTCCACAAATTCATTAATTTGTCTTTCTTTTGAGGACAAAGAGTAACCTTACAAACTCTCAAGAATTATACCCCAAATTCTTGAGAACACTCTCTCCCAAAGAGAACAATACAAATTTGCAAACTTACAAGGAAATCCTCACAAGGTAGATTGTTTGCACAATTCTAGAACAAAGAAAAGAACACTCAAGAATGAAAACAATTGAGCACAATAAGTGTTCTTGAAAGCAAAATGAATATTGAATGAAAAATAGGTTTGAAATGCTCAAACTTGAGGTTTGATGCTTTCTCTTTGATTCTCTCTTGATTCTGGTTGCTTGATGTTTCTTGTTATTGATCAATGGCTTCTAAGCTTGCTTAAATACACCTTGAATCACTTCTGAACGTTGGGGATCATTAATGAAGATAATATAGCCGTTTTAGTGTGAAATCAATTAATAAAACAGTTTGGAGCATGGGGGAATCTGTACCCCTTATGGGGAATCGGTTCCCTAAGTGTAAAATTCAAATATTTCGACCGTTAAATAGGGGGGAATCGATACCCCCTGGGGGGGAATCGGTTCCCTCCGAGCATACTGGAATTCTCGGAGCCAAACAATTCTGGGGGGAATCGGTTCCCTCTAAGCAATCTGGAATTTTTGGCTTTGAGATGGTTCGAAATATTTTGTAAAATCGTTTTGAAATTATTTTAAGATTAAAACTTAATTTTACACTTGAGTAAGGATTAAAAATGACATTTGAAAGATTTGTAGTAATATTTTGATATTCGAATAATTATATCGAATATACTTAGAAAATATTTTTGGAAAATCTTAAAATTCATTTAACTTAATTTGTTATATCGAAATATCAAAATATTTTCAACAATCTCCCCCTTTTTGATATAACAAAATATTTTAGTAATTTTAAGATTTTGAAATCAAGTTTTTGAAATTACTCCCCTTTACTTTAACACTTCTCCCATTTAAAACACTTAACACTTCTCCCCCTTTTTGTTAAATCAAAAAGACATTTTAAAAGAATTTAAACAAGGTTTTTAAATCATTTAGCCAATTATATATAGTTTAAGCTGCAAAGATCACAAGCAAGAGAAACGTTAGCCATTAGTTTCATAATCAATATTCATAATTAATGTGACATGGCAAAATTGGTCATATATCTAACATGATGTAAATGATGCAATAATGAATAAATTTAACCACACAATATATAAGTTCAAACATCCAAACAAATCCAAAGTCTAACAATCCACAAAATCAAACATTCCAAAATATTCAAAATGTTGAAACAATAATCTTTTAGTTCAAAGTTCTAAAGCTAAACAAAGAATCAAACATCCAGATCGGGAGGAGGAAAACGAACTCGCATAGTAGCCATCTCATGTGAGAGTGCATCAATACGTTCATTCATCGAAGCGTTGTTTGTGCGCATCTCTCAGAGAATTTCTAATTGTTGAGCTCCCATTGTGGATAAATGGGACTCTATAGAAGTAAAGTGTGAATCCATGGTAGCATATCGAAAATCGAATGTCTCCATAAAAGATTGAAAATATGGAGTCATTTGATGCGTTTGTTGTGCTTGCTCCTCGGGCTACTCATCGGGCTGTTCACGCTCATCTTCGGCTTCATCGATGTCTCACATTAATTGTTCAAGCTCGGGATCGTCGTCAGCTTTTGGTGGAGCTCGTGAAGAACTAGCTCCCGGAGTATTTTATGAAGATCGAACCCATTCACGGGTTTCCTTATCCTTTATCCATCCCGCTCTCGTTAAGGAAAGAAGATTAATTTGTTTCTTTAGAGGAAAAGAGGCATCTAGACCTACTCTAAGCCCGGCTTTAGAAAATAGATTACTCAAAATGCAACCATAAACTAGAGATGAACAAAGTTTCTTGTTAGGAACAAGATTTACGGTTTCAACAATTTCAGCAAAAATGATATGAGGTAGGTTAATTTTAATATTGTTTTCGAAACAATGTAACCACCAAAGATCCAAGGCTCTAAGAGTACAATAACGACCTCCAGATGGTCGAAACCACCAAGAAATCATTAGGTGAAGAAAACGTTCATGAAGGTCTAAGACACTCGCACTATCCCTTCTTTTATAACGAGAACCTAAAATTTGTTTTTCATTTGAAATACCATTATCTAATCCTAATGCCTTGGCTATGTAAGCCGAGTTAGTATATAAGAATTGTTCTAGGAGGTAGGAACGAACTTCTATGGTCTCAGTTTGAGCTCGGTTTTTGACACAAACGGCATTAGAATAAAATATTCGAACAAGTTGATGGTAAACTATAGGTTCAAGGTCACAAAGTTTATCGAATTTCCACTCTTGTAAAAGAGGAAGATATTTAAAATTAATATCTAACATAGCTTGACGAGAAGGGATACGTTCTTCTCTAATTTTGTAAGAGTCAAAATATTGTTAATACCAAACACGATGATTTCTGGGACCAGGATGATTGAAGCATGAATTTTGGATAGTTAAATTGGGATCAACTGGATTAGGATTAGGAATTGGAATTTCAGGAATAGAAGGAGGATTTGGAGGTGGATTTGGTTGACGGTGTGAGCGACTAGATGATGACCTAGCACGTTTAGGATTGGACATGGTTTAGGAAATC